TTTTTTTTTTAGGTTCGCTCAAGTCTAAATGCATGGTCGTTCCTGAATTTCAATTTCATCGAATTGCGTTCTCTGTAGCCGGGAACTGAACTGTTACCTTTTCTCTCATTACCACCGAAACACAGCACCCGCCACGATGGAAGACTGCTTGTGTTGGCGCAGCATTTCGGTATTTAAGTGAAATAAAAGGATTTAATCGAAGTTGTCGAACAAAAGCACGCTGTGCGATTTTCACTGCGCTTACCGTCTCGAAGGGTGCGTAGGATGCTTGGACTAAAAAAAACTATCAGGTCTGCTGAGTTTTCTTTTTTTTTTTTGTAGAGCATGAGGGCTGGCGAAACGCAAGCATAGTTGAAGTAGTACGCCAACATGCTGATATTGTAAATAAATTATTTGGCTTGTATTGCTCTTTGATACACTATACTGCGACAGTTCGTTGCTACGAGCATCATGGTGACAATGTTTCCAAATTAACACGCATTTTACGTGCCTGCAGCCGAAAGCCTGTTTCACACTAAACAGAGTTGCACCATGGCACGTATTTTTGTCCCGCAATAATTGCCATCTCGGTTGCTTATTTTCTCTTCTTTTTTTATTTGAACAGCGATAGTGCAACGATACGGTTACATAACGCTCCGCGCGAAGCGTGAACTCAATCTAGATTTAAAGAGACCCAAAGCCACTCTTAGTTCAAAGACAATAAATTGGTTTCTTTCTCGCTTTCGCTACTTTTCGTACAGGTGATATATCCTCATCAACACTTAGATCTCCACAAAGCACGTGACCAACGTTGAGCTTATCAGGGTTCCGCACTAATCTGCTGCACGCTGTAATATCCGCTTGTGCTGTCGCAAACGCGCAAGATGAAGTGAAATTAGTTGATTGTACACGATGTTCATGTGAGACAATGGAGAACGGGTAAGCACTCCATGACAAAGCAAAGTAGGAGACAAATCAGAGCTGATACTTGTCGTATATGGATCAATTGAACGTTTTTATTATAACGACGTCCCTTGAATCAACCTACAGGATTCACGAAGTGCGTCAAAAACACGAGAAATGCCAGGAGAGTAACATACAGGTTTTTTTTTCAGAGGTTGTTTAGGAGATATTTACATTTGGATACTTGGATGTACGCATGCTAATCTATCAGGGAGCGCTAGTAATATGTTGAGAGCTAGATCTGGGCACAGGTACTCAGTGCAAGTTAAAAATCAATTCTTATGTACCTTTATTCTTTGTAGTGCCATCATGCGCGTTTTCTTACTGAAACGGGCTTGCCGTTCTAAACTTCGACTCTTCGACTGCTCTCGACAAAGAATGTGCGAACATTGAAAAAAAGCCAGTTCAAGAAGCGCACTTAGCGATTGAAGGGACGGAGAAGTATCGCGTTACAATTTTAGCCTTTGCATGGCGTGTACTGGTAATAATTCGTACTCTTTTTTTTTATATGCTTTCAATATCACAAATTATATTATTGAAGGTTTAACGTCCCAAAGCAACCATATGATTAAGAGAGACGTCGTAGTGGCGAGCTCCGAAAATTTCGACCACCTGGGGTTCTTTCACGTGCACCTAAATTTACGAACACGGGTCTCGTAGATTTTCGCCTCCACCGCAAACGCAGCCGCCGTTGCCGAGATTCGATCCCGCGAGATTCGGGTTAGCTGTCGAGCGCCATAACCATTTGACCAACGCAGCGGGGCAATCTTAATGTCACGGTCTGAGTGTTTTGATTCGTGCCTTATCTGTCCGCGAAAGCGCGCACCTCTTTGAACATTAGAAAAACAGAATTACTGCAAGTATTTTCGAACTGAAATGATCTAATGAAGAAAAAGTGCCACAAGTAACCATTCAATCCCGATAGAACAGGGGTATAGGCAAAAACATTTTTTCGGGCAGTGGCACCACCTTGATCTGAAATCGGGGCCATGCAGGCAGATGCGGTCGAGTGTCATTTTGCGATTAGTATGCCATGGCAAAAAAACATCGGAGAGGGTGCGGGTTCGGTGTGCCACCTCCTGGCTTCGCCACTGCCATTGAAGACCTCTATTGAACCATAGTACTTGGGACATTTCATGAGGCCTGCCCATAACACGTAATCTGTGTATTTACGATGAATGTAGTTTGAGGTTTCCCAACAACTTCACAAATGACGTGCAAAAAATGTGTTTTAAGAAAGCACACCAAGCTTTAATGTTACTGATTTTGTACGAAACAAGTCCCACAAATCACACGCTGGCTGATAGTAGAATTAGTGAAGTGCTGAATATCATGGCTGTTTTCTTTAGCAGTTCCTAATTGTCACAATAATAAATCAAGTCTAGTAATAACCGTCTCTGATCGCCTCTCACAATAAAGGTTTGACTCATTCTGGTACAATCTCCCCGATGCTATTTAACGCGTGCTTACAGGAGGTTTTCAGGGGCCTCCAATGGGAAGAGTTAAGGATAAGAGTTAATGAAGAGTACCTAAGTAACCTACGCTTCACCGATGACATTGCATTGCGACTAACTCAGGGGACTAATTGCAACTCATGATTACTGAGTTAGAGAAGGAGAGCAGAAAGGTAGGTCTTAGAATTAATCTGCAGAAAACGAAAGTAATGTAGAGCAACTCTGGAAGAGAGCCGCGCTTCGAGGTAGGTAATAGTGCCCTTGAAATTGTAAAAGACTACGTCTACTTAGGACAGGTAATAACCGCAGAGCCAAACCAGGAGAATGAAGTAAATAGAAGAATAAGAAAGGGGTAGAGCACATTTGGCGAGCACTTTCCAATCATGACTATTATATTGTCACTATCGCTTAGAGGAAGGTATATAACAGCTGCATCTTGCTGGTACTTACCGTCAGAGCAAAAACCTGGAGACTTACAAATTAGGGTTCAGCTTAAATTGACGACGCCACAGCAAGCAATGGAAAGGAAAATGATAGGTGTAACCTTAAGATACAAGAAGAAAGCAGAATGGATCAGGAAACAGACCGGGGTTAAAGATATAGTTGAAGTCAAGAAAAAAGATGTGGACGTGGGCCGGGCATGTAGCGCGTACGCAGGATAACCACTGGTCATTAAGGACAACTAACTGGATTTCCAGAGAAGGCAAGCGGGTTAGGAGGAGACAGAAAGTTAGGTGGACAGATAAGATTAGGAAGTTAGCGGGTGTAAGTGGCAGCAGCAAGCACAGGACGAGTTGACTGGCGGATCATGGGAGAGGCCTTTGTCCTGCAGTGGATGTAGTCAAGATGATGATGATGATGATGATGCTCATCATCATCATCATCAGAGAGAGAAAGACGAAAGGAAATAGCAGGAAGAAGATCGAAGATAGGCTCGGTTGGCAACCTTGTACTTGGGCTAAAGTCATGGGTTAAGGTCCGATGGTGTAGGCGAATATTTGAAGCAAACTATCTGCAGCATCAGCTGTTTACCAATGCCCCATTACGGTGGTCTTGTAGCTCAGGTACTCAGCTGCTGACCCACAAGTCACGGGATCGAATCCTGGCTGAGACGGCTGCACTTTCGATGGAGGCGAAAATGCTGCAGGCCCGTGTGCTCAGATTTGGGTGCACGTTGAAAAGCCTCAAATCGTCGGAATTTCTGCAGCCCTTCACTACGGCGTCTCTCATAATCATATGGTGGTTTTCGGACGTTAAACCCCACATATATATCAATCAATCAACTGTTCATCAACCTAGTTAAAGCGCCTTCGCTTTTAATTAAGAACACAACCATGGGAGTTCTCCTACTCAGCAAAAAGTAGCGATATCACTAAAAAATATGGCAAGCATACCTATATTGTTGCCGTTATGAGATTGCGTATTCATATTCAGTCTCTCGTCGCATCTGTGCCTCGTCTTTGCCACGCTGGCATTGTTGATTGATTGATTGATTTGTGGGGTTTAACGTCCCAAAACCACCATATGATTATGAGAGACGCCGTAATGCAGGGCTCCAGAAATGTTGACCACCTGGGGTTATTTAACGTGTACCAAATCTGAGCACACGGGCCTACAACATTTTCGCCTCCATCGGAAATGCAGCCGCCGCAGCCGGGAGCGCTGACATTGTAGACTTGGTGGAATATCTCATGATTTTTTCGTCGCGTTCATGTTCAGAACAGCAGAAAGGTTTGTTCTGAATTTTCTTTTTTTTAAATATGATAAGCATTTCTTAGCCAGCACGTGACGATATTCGGATGGATGAGGTATTTGATCCGTGAGGTCAGCCCCCAGTTTCACAGTTCACGCCGTTTGTATAGTCACTGTCGACACAGCGGCGCTCACTGTGAGCGACGTCACCCGTCAATCCGTTCTATATCAGCCGAGCTCATATCTACACCAAAAATAACGCAAATAAATATGTTTTGATGGTGTAATTGAAAAATTGAAACTTCGGGCATCGAGTACCGAAGTCCGATTCCCTAACTTCTACGCAATAGGTATATGTCTCATTAGGCTGTGAAGAACGCCTCTTTTAAAGCCCTGCGCGCAAGCGGGATCATGTAAACGCTTGCCATGTTTCACGATGCGCTTATGGTTTACTTGAGACTCACTTTGTTCAAGAAAGAGTGCCGAGACAATCGGCCCGTTTTCACAACGCTGACGCAACATGGGCGATGACAGTGAGAGAGGGACTCAAAAGGGGTACCTATGCCCCCTCAAGGCACACCAGCACTTGCCCCACCAAAGCCCTACCAGCACTTTCGCCTGTCCCCAGTCGCGATGCAAAACAAATTTGCTCCCCCCACCCCCAAACAAAATCTTCTGCCATTCGAGTGACTCAGTGTCGCCGTTGGACTATTCACATCGACAATGATAAACGACACCAGTCAATTCTGGGTGCATTTTTTTTTTCTCATCGCTGTTCTGTCAATAGTGAAACAAGGCTTGACGAGGGACCGTTGTCCATAGCAAATCGCTGACTTGAATCACGGATAGAGTACTCACCAGAGCGGACGTGTATGCGGTGCCCATTTCAAAACAGGGAAAAAGAAAACCATTAAAACCCAAATGATAAATGTTTTTATTGGATTATCGCCCTCACTGTCATTGGCGTTTCGTAATATTTTCTCATCAGCACAGTAATAACTATTAAGAATTTCTGTTGCACATGAAGCACAAATAAACCTGTACGGGTGTCACGAGTGCTCGATCGCTGCGGTTTACTGGGGTTTTATGGCGACACACAGTGGCTCTCCGCAAGCAAGCTTGCAGCAGATGCCACCGTGTTCCTCGCATTTGATGTCCTCGCAGGTGGTAGTGTTTCGCCTTCCCTCACATTGACCGGGCCGGGGAGGTTCAATCTGAGGACAGTGGAGATATCTCGGGAAATAGTCCAAGAGCATCTGAAGATTGGATACACCTGCAAGAAAAGCAAATGACGAATGCAGGGATAACTAAATGTACCAATAATATATACAGCACATGTAGGAAGACCACCCTTCTTGCTTTGTAGGTGCATGTGATATACCGCCAACAGACACTGAAATCTTCCAGTGTCGTAGTTTGTCCCGTGCATCGCGTGAATTCAGTCGTACTGATATTCAATGGACATGCGAAACAAATGCTCAAGGAATCATTTGCATTCATTGCTATCAAGTTTGTGACAAAAAAAGCTATTGGTGATGCTCGAGACATGTTGCAACACAAAATTTGTCGGTGTTTTCGTAACCAGGTGACAAGAATTTTCATCGTTTTTAGGATCACCATGAGTTTTGAAAATAGGTATTTACTAAGAGATGTTTGAATATTCAACACTTTGAATGAAATGTATTATTATTGACTGTTCGATTCGATTACATACTAAATTTTACACTTTCAGGGTGTCATTGGCTATGTTGGATGAGATTTTCGCATATTCGCTTGTGTTCATCTATAAACTGTGGAAGTTGTTATTAGCGTTTGGCAGAGATAAGCGCCAGGGAAAGCTGTTCTCTCACTGACCCGAAGTATTCTTTTAGCTGCTCCCCGTGGAATTCTTCTCCAAGAAGATGGTGAAGGCTATTATATCAAAACAAGAAAACGCAAATCTGCGGTAATAACCTCTGATAAGGTTCATAAGTACATGGCGTTGTCACTGAAGACTTTCCGCATAATTTTGCAGCCATGTTCACTTCGTTTTCACTTCTGCGCCATTTCATTCTCCGATTCTGCACGTATATACGCATTGTGCTTCGACGAATCACGCGAAAACAACTATTTATTTCTGACGTATTACCAGCTGAAGTTGTGCTTAACCAAATTAATTTCACCAGTGCGCACATACCTTTGACACACCATGAGCCACCGCAAGGCTTCGGGCAGCACTCGAGACCACGACGCTCGCACTCCGTGGGCGTACATTGCTCAAACCTGCAGTCGCTGAAGGTGCCCCTGATTGAGGGGCACCTCGCATGCGTTCCGACCAAGCAGAGCGCGGCAATGGCGACGACGATCATGAAATGCGGCCTCATGCTTAAAGATCAGTTGTGCCTAAAGTATGTCTCGATGGCTTCCCCTTAAGTACACATGTGTCCCGGGGATGGTGTTGAGCTCACAGTTTGAGCCAGGTGAGTAGTAGTTGCAAGTTTTGTGGCTGTTGTGCGCATGACGTGACCAAGCAGGCGAGCTTATCTTCGCTACGCTAGCGAATAAGAGATGTCTTTGCAGCTCTTCCTTCAAGTGCCCTTGAGAATCGGCAAACGCTTCACCGGTGTCACCTGTGTGGCCCCTCGAGTCGACGCACACGTGCGAGCATTTTGCAGCGTTGGCATCTGTTATAGATAGATAAATATGTGAGGTATAACGTCCCAAAACCAGCATATGATTATGAGAGATGCCGCAGTGGAGGGCTCCGAAAACGTTGACCACCTGGGTCTCTTTAACGTGCACACGGTTCTATAGTATTTTCGCCTCCATCGAAAATGCAGCCGCCACAGCGAGGATTTGATCCCGCGACCTGCGGATCAGCAGATGAGTACCCTAGCCACTAGACCACCATGGCGGGGCGTTGTCATCTGGGAAACACCGATAAAATTTATCCATACTTTCGGTGTATGAATTTACTATTGCCCTCTCGGAAACTGACTGAAGTTCACGAAGAAGATGCTGGATATTGCAGGTCGATAAAGGCCATGCAGAGTTTTTTTTTTTTTTTCTAAATATCCTATGACAGTCAGACTCCAGTAGTTTTTTTCTAGATGAACAGTAAACCGAGGCGGAAATGCTTGCCGCACCCATAGACGCATTCCTGTGGCTGATTGAAAAACGTTCATTACCTCTCGAGTTTTTGCTTTGACCGCTTACATCGGAAAGCTGTAGAGCGTGCAAAGTTTGGCGTAGTAATTTTTTTTTGAGAACGCTAAACTGGCACATAATACAAACTATTGATAATCGAATTTGAAGGCTGATTTTTTTTTTTTTTTTTGCGTCAGGTACGCCAGACTGGAATTAAACGTGACACAAAAGTGAAGAAATTCGAATCGATGCACGCCGTAGTAGTATGTAGTGAAGAAAATCATCAACTATTCTGAAATACGCAAGTAGACAGCGTGTTGTTTAGGTGTGATAAATTGTGCTTATCTGATTCTTTCTTAAACTATATATAAAGAGTCACGAAGAACAATTTAGCTTGTCTGCAGGAAGACACATTGAAGTGGATGTGCCCGAGCTGTATCACAGAGAAACAATAATTGGTAGATTCAATCAGCCAATCAATCAATCAAGAAAACTTCATTTTTCTATGAAAAGAAAAAAATACAAAGAATATTTGGACCGATAGCCTTAAGTGACTAGTGACCAGTCCATACAATGTGTATAGAGAATATACAGGTCAGCTTTGAAGCAAAAGAAGAAAAACAAAACAGAAAAGCATTATATTAATACAGGCAATACACGTATACATTTTCTCAAATCAGACATACACTCAGACCTACATATGTTGTCTGGATAAAAAAAAAGACTTGCATGCTAGACCGAAGTTACGTGCTGTCTTAAACTCAAAAAGAATCGTGTTCCACATTTTCGTTCTATTCCAGATCCCACGTACAGTGGGAACCTATGATATGTGAAGCACGAAGTAGGAAGGTGGAATTGCTGCATTAAAATCAGCACAACGCAACGAGGCAGACGTATGTTAAGACACGCATAACTTCCGTGCCATATTTATCATGTTTGGACGTGTCATCTACCTTCGTTGTCTATTCACGTGACGTGATACCAAATTCGCTATATGTGGAGCTAGCGAAATGGCCGTGAGCGTGCTATAATCGTAGCATGTAGTCATGTTTTACACGTCCGAAAATAAACTAAACTAAACGTTCGTCATTCGTTCGCATCGCGTGAAACCAAATTTGGAATATGTGAAGCTAGCAGAACGGCCGCGTGAGACGCATGCCATCAATAACACGGTTGCACCAGTGACATACCTTCGTCATCCATTCACTTCCCGTAATATCAAACTTGGTATATGTGAAGCTAGCGAAATAGCCGTGAGCGCTTCATGAGTGTGGCATGTAATCATGTTACATGACAAACAAGTCATGATTATTTTGCTTGAACGTGTCATTTACCTTCGTTCATTCGCGTCATGTAATACTAAATTTGGTATCTGTGAAGCTAGCGAAACAGTCGTGAGCGCATCATGAGCGTGGCACCTAGTCGTGTTGTTACATGACATGCATCTCATGATTTTCACGTTTGCACCAGTCACGTACCTTCGTCATTCATTGACGTCCCGTAATACTAAATTTCGTATACGTGAAGCTAGCGAAACGGCTGCGAGCGCATCATGAGTGTGGCATACAGTCATGTTGTTTCATGGCACGCATGTCATGATTATCATGTTAGGACGGGTCATTTACTTACTTTGTCCGTTCGCGTCACATAATACCAAATTTGGTATATATGAAGCTAGCGAAACGTTCACGCGCGCATCATGAGCGTGGTATACTGTCATGTGCTGCCATGACACCCATGCCATGGTTATCATGTTTGCACCAGTCATATACCTCAGTCGTCCATTGAGGTCACGTAACCCTAAATTTGGTATATTTGAAGCTAGCGAAACGGCCACGAGCGCATCATAAGCCTGGTATGCTGTCTTGTTCTTACATGGCACGCATGTTATGATTATCATATTTGCACCAATCATGTACCTTCGCCATCCATTCACGTCACGTAACATCAAATTTGGTATATAATTAGCTACCGAAACGACCGCGAGTGCACTATGAGCGCAGTGTGTAGCCATGACTTGCATGACATGCCCGTAATGATATCCACGAAAGGTGATTTGATTGATTTGTGGTGTTTAACGTCCCAAAACCACCTTAGGATTATGAGAGACGCCGTAGTGGAGTGCTCCGGAAATTTGACCACCTGGGGTTCTTTAACGTGCACCCAAATCTGAGCACACGGGCCTACAACATTTCCGCCTCCATCGGAAATGCAGCCGCCGCAGCCGGGATTCGATTCCGCGACCTGCGGGTCAGCAGCCGAGTACCTTAGCCACTAGACCACCACGGTGGGGCTTCCACGAATGGGTCTGTCTCTTGTGTTCACCATGCAGTCATGTCATACCATGCCAGTTTTGCAACTTGTCATGTGAACGAAACCACCGCAAGAGCAGCAAGATCATGAAATGTAAATCATGACATTCATGACATACATATGTCATGATTTTCATGTTATAACTCGTAACCTATGGTCTTCATACAGTCATGTTATGCCACACCAATTTTGGTATGTATACCAATATAGATACGGCAAGGAGAGCTAAATGTCTTAGGAGGATAGATAGATAGATAGATAGATAGATAGATAGATAGATAGATAGATAGATAGATAGATAGATAGATAGATAGATAGATAGATAGATAGATAGATAGATAGATAGATAGATAGATAGATAGATAGATAGATAGATAGATAGATAGATAGATAGATAGATAGATAGATAGATAGATAGATAGATAGATAGATAGATAGATAGATAGATAGATAGATAGATAGATAGATAGTAGATAGATAGATAGATAGATAGATAGATAGATAGATAGATAGATAGATAGATAGATAGATAGATAGATAGATAGATAGATAGATAGATAGATAGATAGATAGATAGATAGATAGATAGATAGGTTTAATGTCGCCGAAGTTCGCTAAGAAATGCTTCGCATTTAAAGTCTACAAACTGCGGTTTTTTCGCTCACAGCTCGAAAGAAACAGATAAGCGCCAAGCTTCACACACAAAAGTGAGGTTATCCACTTGCGCAAGTGAGATGACCTGCCGCTTTTCACGAAAACATGCGGCCATGAAGTGCCTTCGTTCAAGTTTCGTAACTCCTTTGTCACGGGTAGTTCTGAGGTGCTATGCAGGATGACCCGAGATTATGGGAACACGTCAGCGCCCCTCCCCCCGTGAGCCAGCATTTCAACACTGCAGCGACGTCAGCATAATGTTGACGCTGTCTCTTTGCCAACTGAGCACCACGCCTCCCACAGGCGGGTTAATGCGTGTTTGTTCACTTTCAGAGAAGTTATTTCGTTTTACCTGCAGCATGAAAATTTTTACTCTCGAAGACAACTAGGGCACACACAAAGCCCTCTCATGAAACTTGTTTCCCTTTAATCGAATATTACAGTAAAACTCAATGTTCTTTTTCGGTTGGAAAACCAACTCTCACCACTCGGCGCCCGAGAGGCACCGACCGAGGAGGTATAGCAAAGTGGGGGAAAAAAGTATGGCCGCTATGCAAATAGCGGCGATTGACTTGCTAGTCGCTTGAAGATGAAGTAAGAACGGTGGAGAAGTTCGGGTAAAGCTGAGAAAAGCGTTTATATACAGACTGTACAGAATTTGCATAAGAGCGAACATAGAAGTTACGCAAAAGAAAGAAAACGCTTTGTAAATGAAGCGTCCTCTGTAGGGTGACCCTACGAGATTCAGCAGAGCCGATGGTGCCTAACACCTGAATCCTGATTCAGAACGCTTGGTGGAACTCAGGGGCTTCTTACACCTTCGGTGTTCTGCCCTTACACAACTCTTCGGCGAATCGTCGCCTGGTTGTCCTCTGATAGGAAAGTACACTTGGTCGATCAAAACCCGCCACAATGACGCCACCTTCTTGCACGTGAGGGTTCATGCCCTCTCCCCAAAATACACAACAACCAATATGTAAATAAATCCAAACTAGAAAAAGTCATAGAGGTATGGGCAAGCTCAGCGGCGCACAATTATCTAGGCTTAGAGCTACACGTACTAGGGTTTGCGGCCATAATAGCGGCATCGCTGTGACACTTCAACTTCTTGACGACGGGGCAATAATCCGCCTATTCCATGTGCGCTGTAAGAGGAACCACTCGCTGTCCGCACGTTTTTCTACTTGCGCACTCATTTGAAAGGATTAGCATGGAAGCAGCTAAAAACATGCCAATGCAACAACACTCACCAAAAGCGCCTACCGGGCGCCCGTTCACCGTGACGTGAGCTACGCTTTCACGTGCCGCAAGCCCGTCCGCTTCCGAGAGCCACTAGAAGTACGCTG